TTATTTCTGCTGATGGCATTGCTGTGTTTCCAGTCACCAAGGCTCAAAACCTGAGTCATCTTTGACTCATTCCTCTCCCTCCCTATGCCTCTCCTACCAGTCTGATCAGCTGTCAAGTCCCTATCCATTCAGCCTCTGCAGTCTCAACTTTGTGCCCTTCCTCCCTACTCTTACAGCAACCACACTAGATTAGGCCTTCAGCACCATGCTCCAAGGCTAGACTATTATAACATCCTCCTAACTGATGTCTCTGCTTCCATTCTCTCTTTACAATCCATCCTTCTACAGCTAGCCAAGTACTCTTTCCAATACACAGATTAATTTGTCCTTTATTATCAATTGTCTCCTCAGTATTTTTGCTTTTTTTTTTTTTGCAAAATGCTATTGCATTTTTTTTCTTGTTCGAATACACAGGTGTGTCAGATCATGTTTTTTCTCTGCTGAAAATCATTTCTGGAGTTGTTCTCCAGTGGTAAGTGAATAAAACACCAACTCCTTAGCCCAGTACACACTGCCTTCCACTTTTGCATCCAGCCTATCATTCCAGTCTTATCACATATTATTGCCCGTCATGCCTTCAATTTTCTAGCCAGAGTAATCTACTGGCTGTTCACCACCATGGGTTATCCTGCTGCACTTACACAAGGCTCCCTCAGACAGACTCAGTCAGACCAAAAGCTGTTCCACAGCCGGCTCAAACCAGGAGGGCCAAATGTTAAATTGTATCACAACACTTCAGAAATGAGCAAATGCTACAAATCAAGGCTTATTGTTTGGTGGATTGTCTAAACTTAAGAAATGGAGAAAATATTAACAATGTAGTTTAAACTAAAAAGCGGATAACCCCCCCCCCCGGAAAACCAGTTATTAAACATTTACCAGCACACCATTGCCTCAAATACCACCATCTCTGTCTGTAGAAATCCTTCTCCCTCCAAGGTCAGCCCAGGCACTCTTCTTCATGAAGCCTTCTGTCATCTCCTCCAAATCTCTCAGTTCACTCAGATCTTGTTGATGCACTTATATTCTAACTTGTATTATCACACTAACATTTCTTCCTTTTCCTTTATTAGATTTTAAGCTTCTTGAGGGCAAAGACTTTGTTTCGATTCTTCTTTGCATCCTTAGGCACTTCCTGTTACAGTACCTTACGCAGATCAAATGCTCAATAAATATTTGTTGAATTGAATTCAATTATTTTTCATTCAGTCTCACACTCTCCCTAATTGCTCTTCTTCTCCACCCACGTCCTCCTCCTGCTGACTTCCTATATATCCTCACTGCCCTTTATACTCCCTCTATCTCCTACAGTCTAATTTATATTTTTCACCTTTGTACATATCAATATTTCCCCCCTTTAAGACTACAGAGTAGCTAAGTGGTGAGGTGAATAGAATGATGGGCCTGAAGTCAGGGAGACAAGTTCAAATCTGATCTCAGACACCTAATAGCTATGTGACCCCAGCAAGTCACTTAGCCTCTGTCTGTCTCAGTTTCCTTAACTATAAAATAGGCATGAAAATAGCACCTACCTTCCAGGATTGTTATGAGGATCAAATATTTGTAAAGTGCTTAGCACATAGTAACTGCTTATAAATGCTTGTTTCCTACAAAAGCATAGCCACCAAGTTTCATTTACCTCTGTACCTTCCCCATTACATAAACTAAGTTATTTCTATACAGTAGGTACTTAATAAACACTTGTTAAATGAATTTGTCCTTTATTATCTATTGTCACCTCATATTTTTGCTTTGCTCTTGGATTTTTTTTTGTGGTTCACATCATTTCTCTCAGATGGAATGACATCTCTCCCACTTTCTTTAAGCCTCCGTTTAAAATTCACTGGCTTAAATTTTTAAACTTCCTTTAAATTTTTAAATTTTAACTTCCAGAGCAATGAGGCAGCACAGTGGATGGAGCACCAACTCTGGAGTCAGAAAGACCTCAGTTCAAATCCGGCCTCAGACATTTACTAGCTCTGTAACGCTGGGCAAGTCACTTAACCCCAACTGCCTCCCCCCCCCAAAAAAAAGAACCAAATTTTAACTTCCTTTGACAGAGATTAGTGATTAAAATGGCCTTCATCATATTCCTCCAGATTCTGCTCTTCCTGACATCCTCAGCTCCATCAATGGTAAGACTATTCACCTAGACATCCACCATCATAAACCTAGAATTGTTTGTGGCTCCTCCTCCATCCCTTCTGCCAAGTCCTGTCAAATTCTACCTGCTAATTATCTACCAAATCAATCCCTCCTCATGTTCCCAGCTGCCCTTGGAGATAATCTGGGCTTTTATTATTTTGACTGGCATACACTCCAAATACAGATCTTCCCACTTCTAAGCTCTGCCTAGTGATTTAATACAGTGCAGCCAGGTTGGTCTTCCTGCACGTACCTAACCAGCTTTATTCATGTTACTTCTAGTCTTGCTCTCTACGTTGCAGCCAAACTGGACTGCTTGCTGTGCCCTGAACAGGAGCCCAGCTTTCTCACCTCTGTTACTCTGTTGCTTTCCTTGCCCTTGAAATACCATCCCTTGTCCTTGTCTCTACCTGCTGACTTATCTTCCCAGATCTACCTAGTCTTCAAGGTCCAAAATAAGTGGACTACTTAGCCTTCCCTAATTCCTCAAGGGGGAAAGTCATTTCTCACTTATCTGATCTCATATGCACTCACATTCCAATTTGTATTTTTCTGGGTTTACGCTTTATTTCTTTTATTTCCCCCCCCCCCCAGTTCTCAGAACACTGAATTGCCCACGGCAGACACTTAATGTTTATCACAGCAAAACTTCAAGTGAGCCTAGCTAACAATAACATTGTATCTGCAATTTCATCACCGTGGACTGTCAATCCCCTGCCAGAGATGGTGAACCCTCTCTAACTTAGGTCTTTAAGCGTGGCTGTTGCCAAACAAGGCATCACCATTCAGCCAATCAGTAAAGGAGTTTCTCTGAACTTAGCTAGGCTCATTTTCAGACCACAGACATCATCTTTCTAACTTTGTAGGACCTGCCAGGGTTTAAATTCTGTAGACATAGCTTTTAAGAACCTAGGATCACCTCCGTGCCACGTGTAGAGTTTTAGTGGAGGTTAAATTTTTATAAAATGTCTTCTACTATATATACCCCCTCCTTGAAGTACCACACCTCCAAGTCCCAAGGAAATAGAAGCCAAGAGGAGAGCTTTCCAAATTTTAAGGTATATAAACAATACATTCAAGACCCTACTCAAAATTCCTCTCCTGATTGGCCTTTTGGTGTGAGATCAAAGCAGAGAGAATGGGAAGGAAGGGGACACGCTGTTTATGAATGCAATCTGTGTCACATTTACATAAGGAGATCAGAGTGTGCAGGGAATTAAAGTAAGAAGTTTTGGGTCCCAGCTATATGTCACTTTAAAGCCTCTATGACCTTTAGCAAGTGACCACTTCCCTGGGTTTAAGTTTCTTCACCTGTAAAATATGAGGGTTACTTGAAATGTCCTCTGAGGTTAAGCATCAAGCTCAACTTCACTTTTGTCATTTAAATGTCAATGGACCAAACAATCCTTTCCATTTCGAATATTATGAGTCTATACTAAGACCAAACCGAGCTAAACTTTATTTTTGTTTTGTAATTTAAATGAAGTCCTTTCTATTTCTAATATTCTAATATTCCCTGACTCTACATGTATTAAGAACAAGATTGAACAAAGCTTAATTTTACTTTTGTTTTGTCATTTCAATGACACTGGACCAAATAAAGTCCTTCCCAATTCTAATATTCCCTGGGTCTATACTAAGAACAAGACCGAAACAATGGGTGATACGTACTAGAAAGGGATAACAGGGAGACAAATTTTGGGTAGGGTCTTTAAAGTATTGAACAGGAATTAGTAAATGGCAAAAAGCCTTTCTCTTGTTTCTTTTGCTGATCCTGAGGCTCCAGCCCCACATTTACACAGGTTGAATACCACAGATCTACCTTGATCAATGAGAAAGAGAAGGGGAGAAGGAAGAAAGAAGGAAGGGAGATGGGGCAAGGGTACAAATGTTTAAATCCCCAGTTTTCTTTGTTTTCTTTTCTAAATTGTAAAATGAGCCTGATTAGTGGCACTTTTAAAGCATGTCTCCTCTACAGCTTCTCCCCAGTTCCGTGGAGATAGCCCTTCTCTGTTATCTCTTGAATTCATTCATTTTTCTTATGATTGCTGCAGGTACCCGAATGAAATTTCTGGTGGGGCTTTCTCCTTGAGCAGACGGACATGAGAGCCCTTATCAGCCCTCCCCCACCAATGACCGATGACCCAAACTGTCCCCTGGGAACTCCAGCGTGGCTGTTGGCTTTAGAATCCCCAGCGTGACCCTTGCCACCTCCTCCCAAGAGGGGGCAGAAAGGCCACTCGGCCGCACCCTTTGCTCTCTCCCCATGAATCATTAACGAGCTCCGTCGGGCGAGCGCTTCGGGGGGCACTGGGGGGAATCTGAGAAAAGGGAAAACTCTATCTCCAGGGGCGGTGAAACTTTAGCCGGGGAGGCTCTCTCCTGCACCTTACCCCCCCATCCCCGCGCCCCCGCTCCCCTCCCCCGCCCTTCCTTCCTAGCTCTCCGCGGCCGCCACCGCCGCAGCCGAGCTTGCAGTTACCGCGATGCTCAGTCGCAGCGCTGAGGCGGCGGCGGCGGCAGCAGCAGCATTAGCAGCGGCAGCATCAGCAGTATTAGCCTTAGCAGCAGCAGCAGCACCAGCAGCAGCATTAGCTGCAGCATTAGCTTACGCGGTGCGCGCCGGCGCCGGGAACCGGGCCACCAGGAAGGATGCTGAAGGCGGAGAAGAGATAAATCCCCCGCAAGCGCGGCCCTTCTCCGCCCCCCCACTCCCGCCCCCGCCGCCTCTCCCCACCCCCTCAAAGAGCCCGCCCGCCACCGCCAGCCCCCGCAGACGACAATAGCAGCTCGGGCTGAGCTGCGCTGCGGCAGCACGGACTGCTCGCTGCCCTTGGCTGGCGCGGCTACCGGGAGCCTCAGGTATTGTTCACCTGCAACAGCAGAGACGGCTGGGGTCGGGAGGCACCCGGGCGGGGAGGCGGAGAGGAGGCGCCGCGCCCGAGGGGCGGGCAGCATGCCGCTGCGGCTCCAGCCCCGGGGTGCGGGGACAAAGAGCGCCGCGGCGTCCGCCGCCCCTCCGGCCGCCTCCTCGTCGTCCTCCACAGCGCTGACCGCGGAGGCGACAGCGGCAGCACCTTCGCCCCACGCCTGCTCCACCCCACCGTCTCCGCCTCCCGCCCCCCGCGACCCCGCGGCGGGGCCGAAGCCGCTGCTGCGCTGGGACGAGGTGCCCGACGACTTCGTGGAGTGCTTCATCCTGTCGGGCTACCGTCGGCTGCCGTGCACGGCGCAGGAATGCGTCGCGTCGGTGCTCAAGCCCACCAACGAGACTCTCAACTTCTGGACGCACTTTATCCCGCTGCTGCTGTTCCTGAACAAGTTCTGCCGCCTCTTCTTCCTGAGCGGCCGCGATGACCTGCCCTTCCACCACCCGTGGCTGCTGCCGCTCTGGTGCTACGCGTCGGGGGTGCTGCTGACCTTCGCCATGAGCTGCACGGCCCATGTGTTCAGCTGCCTGTCCCTACGCCTGCGTGCCGCCTTCTTCTACCTGGACTACGCCTCCATCAGCTACTACGGCTTCGGCAGCACCGTGGCCTACTACTACTACCTGCTGCCGGGGCTCAGCCTGCTCGACGCTAGCGTCATGACCCCCTACCTGCAGCAGCAGCTGGGCTGGCACGTGGACTGCACGCGGCTCATCGCGGCCTACCGCGCGCTCGTGCTGCCCGTGGCCTTCGTGCTGGCCGTGGCATGCACCGTGGCGTGCTGCAAGAGCCGTAGCGACTGGTGCACATACCCGTTCGCGCTGCGCACTTTCGTGTTTGTCATGCCGCTGAGCATGGCCTGCCCCATCATGCTGGAGAGCTGGCTCTTCGATCTGCGCGGGGAGAACCCCACGCTCTTCGTGCACTTCTACCGCCGCTACTTCTGGCTCGTGGTAGCCGCCTTCTTCAATGTGAGCAAGATTCCTGAGCGCATCCAGCCGGGCCTCTTCGACATCATTGGCCACAGCCACCAGCTCTTCCACATCTTTACCTTTTTGAGCATTTACGACCAGATGCACTACGTAGAGGAGGGGCTGCGGCAATTCCTCGAGGCGCCGCCCTCCTCGCCCACCTTCTTGGGCACGGTGGGCTACATGATCCTCTTGGTGGTCTGCCTGGGCTTGGTCATCAGGAAGTTCCTCAACGTGTCCGACCTTTGCAAGGAGGACTGAGGCAGAGAGAGAGAAGAGAAAAAGGAAAAAAGACGACTGCTACACCTGCCAGGTGGTCGGGCCACCCCTCCTGGCCCTGGGTTGGGAGTTTTGGTTTGGGGCTTCTTGGTCTGTCAGGTTTGGCTTCGTTTCCTCTCCTCCCTTTCCTGGAGAGGATGCTGAAAAACCATAGAGGGTAGGAGAGGAGAATTTTCCCATCATTGGACCCCAAGCCCCTCACCCAAGCGTTTGCATGGCCATTAACTGACCCCGAGAGGGGGAGAGCAGGAGGGCAAGAGGAAGCAATCTAGTGACCTAGGCCACTGGGCAAAATAAATGTTCGTGTAATGGTTAAGGAAAAACAAAACAAAACAAAAACGCACACACACACAAATGACAGCTTTGTGATTTCTGGGGTCATTGGGATTTTATCTTTTCTTTAAACGCACAACTTGCTTTTAGGAAAGGGCCAGGGAGCGCTAGTCCCCTGGATTGGGATCACTTAGGAAGTAAAGGAAAGTCGATGATCATTTTAAAACCCACTATAGTTTGAACCCTCTTGGGCTCTATAAAAAGAGTACTTTTTGTTGAAAAGGAGCCCAGTAACTTAATTAACCCTGATGTTTTAATCTGCTAGAAAATGCATGGAAATGTGAGCACAAGTTTAATTATTTCAATGTGTTGATGAATTGTTATTTAAATAATATATAATGCACATATAATATATATATGCAATGATTATTTCATATGTTTTTTTTAATCAACTGTGTGGAAATATTTTCAGAATAAGCACCTGAAATTTTCTTTTTGGGGAAGTTGGGAGGGGTAATTGTTATTTTGAAATCTCAGCCCTTGTGCATTATATACACTGGAATTGGGTTGGAAGGCAAATTGATTGACAGCTGTTGCCTTTTTATACAGTGTTTTTCTCGAGGACCACATGTATGTGTGATGGTATAGCTGTGACTTATTCTCTCATAGAGAATGTGATCCAAGGATGGGAGAAAAGCTAGAGTGGTTTGTATAACTCGGAATGCTGGACATCCTCTCACTCATTTAGTTTTTGCTTGGTCCCTATTTGATAGGGCTCCACAAATCCCACCCTGACTATTTTCATCTTTATCCTCCTTAATTCAGTTGCCACTGGATAAATGTGCCTTTTGAAGCAGTGCCCAAATGTCTGGTCCTCAAATCGGATGGATCTGTTTGCCTAGCTGTAGGAGAAAGCCTTGTTTGGGTGGTTACTGAAAGTCAGGGTTTAATATTTCATCCATGAATGAAGAAAGGTGGGTCTGGTTGTGATTTTTGTGGTATGAATTGCTTGCTTAGCCTCATCTTCTGAAATACTCTGCATGTAAAGTTGTGCATGGAAATTCAACTAAGATTGCTGGTGCCACTATTATTCCTGACAAGCAGCCTTGGGGGAGAACCAATGAGAGTGTTTCAAATTGATGCAACCCTTTGTTTTAAAAATTCAGTAAGGGAAGACATAATTCAATTCCAGCTATCAGGAGACAGACTCCATCAGCTATAATTGAGAAATTTGAGTTAAAATAGGATTTAGCTTTGTGATGGGAGGTCAGCTGCCCTCTTGCTGCCATCAGAGGTTCAGATCTTTAGAGGATAGGTCAGTCTTAGGAAATTACTAATGGTGCCCTCTTCAGTCATTTGGAAAGTTCCTGTACTTGACTTATACTAACAATTCAGGTTGGATCATCTTTTTGGGGACATTTTTGCCTAATCATTTTTGCACTTGAGCACAATCTAGTGGGGCTATTCAGATACTTCTCAAAGGTCAACTAGGTGACTTGAAATGGGGGGGGGGGAGAAAGACTGTTTGAATTGTAGCATCATTATGGCGTTTATAGACATGCACCAAACAGTAAAAGTAGAGAGAGGAGTGACTTCTTTGGAACTAGAGAGATGGTGCTTTTAAAAGGGGCTGAAAGTACTACTCTTTTTGTAAACAGAGAGGTGTATCACAATTCCCTGGAGGAAATAGCATCCCAGTTGATTTTTGTGTATTTGTTTGCATATGAAAGCTAAATTTATATTTATATGTTTATATTTAATGTAGGATCTTTTACTGGAATTCATTGCAAGAGTATTGATTGAGTACCAGTTCATACTTTGGAAAACTCAAGCAGCATGACCATTAAGCTGCTTTAAAATAATTTGTACCTCCAAGCTCTGTAGGACAGTACTTTTGTATCCAAGGAGCCTATGGAAATAGCCACTCCTATATGCAGACTTATTTGTTTATGAATGGTGTCTGTTCTGGTACCCCAATGAATGTTTCTTTGGGGTGCTGAAATTATCCTATGACCCTGATTTTTGAGGGGAGCTGTGGCACTGATTCTGAGCTGTTAGCATATAGACATCTAAAGGTGGATCTGCTTTTTGTGGGGAGTGGGGCCTTTTTCACCTTCCTGGTGGTCATCTCCTTAATTCTCAGAGGAGAACATTTAAACCCAAAGACACAACTCCTTACAACTCTCTTTCTCCTCTCTCTTTGTCCTTATGATAGAGGGGCCACTTAAGGATAAAATTATACCCCTATCATTTTCAAGTGATTAATGTTGCGTGAGCCCTGTAAGATGACACACTTTTCCCTGTGAAAGGTTCAGCTCAAAGTATGTCACTGAGAAAATACTAATCTCCTACTTTTTCTTCCTTTCCTCTTTCCTCATTTTCCTTCTTGGTTCAAACTCAGACTTTCTGTAATATGTATAGGGGGAAAGGGATAGTAGACATTGGAAATAGAATGAATGTTCACTAAACTGACTTCACATTACATAAACATGTTAGGTACATTTGAGTTATAAGACCAGGAATGATCCATCAGATAATTTTTATATTATTTACTGAGTTTTTTATGGTTTGTGCTGACATAAATGATGGTATGGTAGAATCCATCAATATTTTCTTACTACCTACATTCACGTGGGACTACTAGACAGAACAGAACTAACACACCACAATCAGAAGAGGTGACTTTTCTGACACAATTTCTTAATTGCCCCTTTGCCCTGTCCATTGTTTAAAATGAGTTTATTTTTGGAGACTGGTTACGTCTCCATGGCATCCAACCTTAGTTGTGAAGTGAAGAAAAAGAGACTAAATAAGAAAATAGTTTTTTTAAAAAATATAGTCTGCATAAATTATTGTAGCAATAGAATGAAGCACATTATATAATCCATTTTATTTTTTACTTGTTAGTCCTGAACAGGATTCCATTTCAAGGAGCAATGTCACAAAGTCATGACTGGCATGTAAAAATAAATGTGATATTTTCCATTGGCCACATAACATTTTCTATATATATCCCAGCAGGAGTATATGGTGCTGGCCTCTCCAAAGCTGTGCGTAGAATGTTATTTCCATTCATAAATAGTGCCTGTAAACTGATGATTCATAATGTATTCTCAATTAAAAAAACTTTAGGCCCCGCCAAATCAATATGCTATTTCATGAGAATCATTTCTAGGAATATAAAATGTTTAAGAATGATGCTAATGGAGATGATTTTTTTAAACTTTTTTATTTTTATGACTTTTTGCCAGAGGATTAGATGTTGATTGAAGGGGTAACATCAAGCAATAATTAATAGCACTTTTCATCTCTAGGCTTCTTATTAACTAGATGGATTAATTTGCACAAAATTACCAGTAAAAGATAATCCATAGGTATTATCTCAATGTTAGGGTCATACAGCTTGTCCAAGCCCACAGGACTACTTTTCCAAACTAATATTTTGAATTTGACGTCTTGTGAGTTCCCATTGTGGATTTTATGCACGTGTCAAAATACTTAGCTATGATCATTTATCCATTCATTCAGATACCAAGTAGTGTTTGTTTTTTTTTTTAAACACTGATTTAAAAGTCAGGGACAGCAGTCGATACATACATATAACCATGTTGAATAGTTGACAAAAATCCTCCATAAATATCTCTCTGCTATATGTTATTTTATTGTAGATTGCTTCCCCCCCCCCTTTAGGGTATGCTACTGGCTATGTTTTTTATTCATTCAACAAGCACTTATTGAGCACCTACTATGTGCAAGGTCTTGTTTTCACATGAATTTTTGGGAATCCAGCCATTCTTACTCTTTCTCCACCAATCCCCCCTTCTCACACATTTCTCAGCAAGTTGGTTTTTGGTGCTAATGGCTCTGAAGGAAGCTTTTACTTACAGTACAGTTAAAACTACACCCTTAACCCATGCCCACTGTGGTCAGTTAAGCCAGAATGTTTCATGCTGCTCTCTGGTGTCAGGAATGGGGCATCTACTACAGCCTTGTGAAAAATTCTGCTTTCCCTGAACGCTACAATTCACTTCGGCCCGAAAGCTTCATGTTGCCAGGCCAGCGTACATTTTCACAATTAGAGATCCTGCATGGTTTCATCCAAACACAGAGATAAGGCGAAGGGTACAGACAAATTTTTGAAACTCTAGTTTGAAAAATCCAGTAACTATTCATTTTGGAGATGTTGACGGCATACCGAGCATTATATAGTTTATACTGATTGCCTAAATTGTGTTAATGTTATTTTGGATATGAGCTACACCAGTGTACATGGTTTGTGTCCCTTTCTTTTAAGGTTCTTGCCATAGACTGCCATTGAAAGAATTCTTGGAAAAAATCGATCTTTGTGGGGGATTTGGAAAATAAAAAAAAAGAGAAGGATAGATTCTTACTGAAATTAGAAAGCTGCTTAATGAAAAGAACCAGCATTTGGGCTTCAGACACCGGCCAGAAGCAGCCGATATTATGGAAGGAAGAGCCATGAGCATTTTTGCCTGGATTGTTAAGTTTGTACCCAGAAAGTCATGTTGCTACCCAGATGAACACGCAAGGGTCCTCACTGAAACACTGTCCCACCACAGTCCACTTCCCCACTGCTCCCCAGTGTGTCTTCTACTTGTTGTGACCAGATTTTGTTTTTTGAATCTGTGAGCAAAGTGGGAAATTCAGGGTGCTTCTTTTACCAGTGGACAGCCAAGAGAGCTCACTGAGCTACCAATAGTGGCGCTATCTGAACTTTGGAGACCAGGATTCTGGGTGCTCCGATTTCCATGTTTGCAACAGATGCCAATAGACGAGCGCGTGCAGACCATAATCACTCATTTCTGTTTGCTCTCTAGTTTAAATGGAAGGGACAGTGGTTTATTCCGGTTTGTAGAAATGCTTCATCTGATGTGTTATAATATATCCTCTTCTTTGCAATGCATGAGCCCCCCACTGCTGTATGTTATGTATCATTTCTCTAAGCCATTCCAGGCATGGCATTTCTCAAGGATACTTAGATTTCTTGAATGTGTGAAAACACCAAGCCAATTTCTTCATGCCTTATAGCACCACCCAGCACATGCAATAACCACCCACGTAGGTGCATGTTGTGTCTTACGGATTACTTTAACTATGTTATTCAGAATGTCCTGCTATTAGTGGTGTATTATCTCATCGAGAGATGGATGACCACTACTGTTAATAAACGTTTCTATAGGACATATAATATCCATTTCTCTTTGCAGAACCCACCTCTACATAGAAAGAATAACGTTTTTAATCAGCTAAATGCAAAAAAAAAACCACAATGAAAATAGGGAAATTTTTTTTAAAGGAAGTGTTTTCATTTTATAAAAAATTCAAGTTTGTAATAGTAATTAGTTTGTGAATAATTCACTTTTACACAGAGGTGAGGCTTAGCTTCTTAAAATGCTCATCTTTGTCCTGGGCATTTAATCATTTTTAACTCATTTGAATGATAATGACCTATAGGTCAGTGCTTTTTTCTTAAATACTATGTAAATAGTATGTTAGGGAAGGGTAAACTTAAAAAGAAAAAAAAACCGGGCCAGATTTTGCTCTTTATATGTAGCAAGACCCAAAAGTCTTTTTTTTTTTAAATTCTGATGGGAAACATCATTAAATTTATACAACAATCACCACCCCTAGCCAGCCCTCCTTTCTGCCAGTCTTTCATTCTTTCTGGAGGTCATTAATAAAATTATTCCAGACAGGCAACTGAGTTTAAAATAAAACTGTATCAGTAGAGAGGCACACTCCATTTTCATGGTGCCTATAGCCACAATTAATGATGTAGCCAGGCAAAACTGACTGGACAGGGTGGTTCCGCTGGCATTGCTGACTTCTACATTTCTGTAGCCTCCTGTTATGAGGGTGGGAAGTAGGGAGAAAGGGGAGTTAGGAAACATCCGATATGTGTTTTGACTTCACCTATATCTGAGATGGAAGTGACACTGAAGCTGGCATTGCTTGCATTAACCATGTAAGAGCTCCTACCCCAGAAAACTGCCCTCCATGGTGGCATTCATTCACATCTGATGGGGAAGCACCAGAAATGCATAGCTCTATTCAACTCTGAAGGTAAATCATGATGGACAACTTGAGGGCTTGGATGATAAGTATTTGGGCCTTTAAAAACCATCTGCCTTACAAGGTTCATTCATCTCTAAACTAAGACCTTAACTGAGATTGCCATTCTAGACTTTATAAGTAAGAATGTACAACCAGCATGTACCCCTTTTTATAGTAAGGGGATTAATTGAAGGGCCACTGTTCATCTTTTCTCAGGTGACATACAGGATGGGAGGGGGGGGCTTTGATAATGACCAAATAGTACGGACCTCCATATTTCAGTATTTTTTTTTAGCACATTTTGATAGTGATTACAGAGGAAGATGGGGGGGGGGGATGAGTAAAGGTTGAGGCAGGAATGAAGAGAGATTGATTTTTTTCCCCATTGCTTGCTAGATGACCATAATTTTTCCAGGGAAAACCCCTGACTCTAGCCATCAATAAATCTAGTAAATTTCGCCCTAAAGGGCCATGTTTAACTAACTGGGAAAGACCTCTCAGGATGTTTGAAGTTGTGTTACAAGTGGTCTGTGATGCTATTCCAAATCAGTAGTGTGTAAAGGCAGAAAGATCATTAATCACAACTGTTTTTTAATCCAATGAATTACATGCACCCATCTATAGAGATAGATGCCACTTTGGTCAGTTTTGTGCATGCAAAAGCAAGACAAAATTGTGAGTCATTTCTGTTTTTTGGTTTGCTTTCATTTTGTGTTCTGAGAAATTTGTTCTTTGTGGTCTTGAATGCTGAAATCTGTTTAAAAAAAACTATGCATTTTTAGCTGAAAGACAAATATATGAATAAAGTTGTTTCTAAGCATAATATTTAAAGAGTTCATTTGTATGCTGCAATATTCATTCAGGCAAAAAAATTGTTCTGTTAGCCTGAGATTATTCAGGAATTAATGAGAATCTAGCATGAGTAACCACATTCAGAAAGATTTTGCAGAAAATCACTGTTCCAGTTACAGCAATGAGGAAGAAATATGTATAATTGGGTAATCTTAATGACTGTCTCTCATGGAACATGGAATTATAAATAAAGACCTGGATGAGGAAACTGAAGCCCAGAAAGGTTAAACAAGGTCACTAGGACTTGAACTCAGGGCCTTTGACTTAATATCCACAGTTCTTTCCACTGTTGGAGAACATCTCCATTAAAAGCTTATCTAATGGGAAAATCACTCTGTGCTAACCTTTAAACTCAGTTAATAAAACATTGCCATGTACTAGGTTTTCACTTATTTTGAAGGGCATGTAAGGTACATAGGGTTACGTGGGGGCCATGGGCATGGGTTATATAGCCCTGAGTTGCCTGTGTATGCAAAAGGTGTCCCCTTTCCCCCGCCTCCCATTGACTTTAGAGCTTAAATACTATTAAATCACTTGACATGCGTCTCATTTCTAAATGTAATTCCAAAGCCTCTAGGTTTCCGTAGGTATGGCTTATAAATAATATTCTTTTGTTATGGTGAGAAATAGCAAAGAAAGTGCAAAGAAGCTAAAATTTTAGCCCGTGTTGCTTCCCCCAGCCCCCCAATTCAAGGGGATTTTTGTCCTGTCGAAGACACAAGGCAGTCCTGCATGTCGGGTGGTCCTGGGGATAGTGAGATGAGGCCACAGTGTAATCAATTACCAGGCATAGCTGTATAATAATAAAGGCTGCTGCTTTTTCCATGTCAAACACTACATTTCCATGTTAAGGACCCAGAGCGAGTGGATTAGAAATTCAATAAGAACCATTGATGAGAAAAGCAATTGGCACTCAGGACGAGGAGTGAGTCAATCTACAATAAATTTCCCCAAGTTACATGAATAGCTAGAGATAGATATGAAATCTATAGGCTACACATACACACATATACATGCACACACACACAGTTAATTTTAGATGATCAGAGTAGCATTATGATTCCATCTAACCATCTGAATGCGTTAGGAGGCCTCAGGAAAAAAATAATTCTAACCAAAGCATTTCATATATAAAACCACACATACTTTAGAAATTTAATTCTATTAAGTGTTTGGGCAGGTCCCCTGAGCAATTACCTTCATGATTATCATTGTTTTCTGAGAACTAAGCCCATGGAATTTCTACCCTGTATGTTTATAGTATTTTCAGTCACCAAATGTTAATCCCTATGGCAAAATTGGAGAGATATGAAAATTTTATAATCCACAAATATAGGTTACATCAACATGTATTTTCGGAATCTGCAGATTCATATCCCTTTAGCATGATATAAATGGTATTGACTGTAGGAGCCTTTGTTCTACCCAATCATTTCAGAAAATAATTTTAAAAATTCTTCCCAGTGCTACCTCTCCTTTTTTATAATAACAATAACAGCAGCAGTAATAGTAATAGCTAGCAACATAGCACTATGTGCCAGGAATTATGCACAGAATCTCATTCAATCCTTATAATTGCCCTGGGAGGTAGGTGCTATTATCCCCATTTTACAGATGAGGAAATAGATAAACAGAGGCTGAGTTTTTTACCACCACCACTACTTTTTTTTTCTATTTCAAAACAGTGACCCAACTGTCTTTGCAGAAGCCTGTCTAACAAGAACATGCTTTGTCATGGAAAATAATGGGTTAAATTTAAGAAGTTGTTATCGGCTTGTTTTTGGCAGGTAGCATAGTGGATGGAGCAATGGGCTTAGAGTCAGGAAGATCGGAGTTCAAATCCAGTCTCAGATGCTAGCTGCATGACCTTGGGAAGTCCCTTAACTTCTGCCCCAGTTTCCTCATCTGTAAAATGGGGATAATGATAACACCTACCTCCCAAGGTTGTTGTGAGGATCAAATTAGGTAATATTTGCAAAGTGCCTGACACATAGTAATTGCTATATTAATATGATCACAAATAATAACATCAACATACATTAATATTAATAACATTTGCTATAGCATTAATGTAACACTAATAATTATAACAAATATTAATATAATTAATATCGACAACACTTATAACATTAACATAGCCCTTACTGTGTACCAGGTGCTTTACAAATATCTACTTTTTGTTATTATTATTATTATTATTATTATTGGAAAGGGGAGCTAGTCAGCATTCTTCCTCCTCCCCAACATCTTCTCACTGCTCTCTCTCCTTACATGATTCTCCTTCCTGCCTACTTTGAGTTAAGGTTATAGGTTCCCCAGTTCCTTTCTATTTGGCAACAAAAATGATGAAGCCCTGAACTTAATTGTTAGGAGAAGGTGAAAAAAAACCCAACTAATGCAAACATTAAAGTCTAAACATTTGCCAGTTATCGCCATTCTCTCATAAAAACACAAAAACAGCTTCCTAAATCATGGGAACTCTTGAAGAAGTCAAAGAATTTCAGAAGGAAGGGGATTTTAGGAATCTTAGATTACTGAATTTGGCATTGTTCTTTGGGAAATGGGGCTGAAAAATCTTAAGATTAATAAAAGCTACCAAGAGTGGTACCAGGTCCCAGATATTCACATGATGTCCTTCCCTTCCCCCAATACTGTTTGGAATGAAACCATGGAGAAAAGAGGGAGCTCCCAGAGAGGAGGGACCCTAAGAGTAGATCTGCTACTAGAAATATGTGAATTAAAATCTTACATGACCCCAACAGCCTCTTTTCAATCCTCGGTTCCATTCTTCAGACTATTGTCCCATCCCTATTGGTGTACGAATCTGTTCTGACAGCAACCTGCCACTGCCAGAAAGAACCAAAAATAAATGATTTGGGTCATGCACTTATGTTATTCTGTAATGAACCTGGTTAGAAAACAAAAGGAAACCTGTTCATTGGATTTAAAGGAAAAGCTACAGGGTTAGACAACCCTAACACAACTATGGACAGCTCACAAGGAGACCATCTTGCTCTTATGAAAAAAGGGATTTTTTTTTCTCCCAGTCTTTTCCTGTTTACCACTTCTGCTTTCAAAGTAAAAGAGATAAATTAAACAGCAGGTTCCAGATGTAGTAGGCCAAAGCTTTTTAAGCTGGAGTCCATGAACTTGTAAAAAAAGAATACGTATATACATACACACACATACATAAGATTTTTATTTCAACATATTTGATTTCCTTTTGCAATCCTATATATTTGATGTTTTTAATATTTTATTTTATACATTTAAGAACCTTGTTCTGAGAAGGGGTCTATAGGCCTCACTAGATTTCCACACAAAGGTTAAGGACCCTGATACTAGGCTGACAGGAGCTATTATGTTGAATACTGGTTTTGCCTGTTTCCTTGATAACTAAAATTACCACCATGTCTTGCATAGAGCAGAGTGTCTCAGTTGACCTTACTCTATAAATTTTTAAAATTAATTTAATTAACAGATGTACCTCCATAATGTGGGGCACGGAAGGGCAGGACTGCTACCTTCACCACTACATTTTTATGCTGCTGAAATTTAGTTAAAATGAATATCACTAGAAGTCACAAAAAGCCCATGTGTATTCTGAGGACTATGCCCTGTTGTGGGGAGGATCGATAGAGTTACATATATAGGAAAGTGGGGGGGGGGAAACAAATATAAAAATCAGAGTTCAATCATTTGCCAATCCTTTCCATTCTCTCATGAAAACACACAAACAACCTTCTAAATCAAAGAACTCTTGAAGAAGTCAAGGAATTTTGGAAGGAAGAGGATTTTGGGAAGCCTAAATTCTACTGGGCAGCTATGTGGCAAAGGGATAGAGTGTCAAGCCTGAAATCAGGAAGTCTCATCATCCTGAGTTCAAATCTGGCCTCAGACACTTACTTAGCTGGGTGACCCTGGGCAAGTCACTTAACCCTGTTTGCCTCAGTTTCCTCATCTGTAAAATGAAGCGAAGAAGGAAATGGCAAACCACTCCAGTATCTTTGCCAAGAAAACCCCAAATGGGGTCACAAAAAGTCAGACACATCTCAACAACAACAAAGATTCTATTGAGTTTGACCTAATTCTTAGAGGCTGTCTAAACCAACCCCCTCTTTTTACAGATGAGGAAACTGATTCACAGAGAGGCTAAATGACTTGTACATGTTACAAGTGGCAGAGCTAGGATTAGGTCCTCTCATTACAAATCTAGTATCCTTTTCAGTAAGTTATACTGCCTCTCAGAGTGTCTCAGGTCTTTTTAATGCTTTAGGTGGCAAGAACGCCACTTCCGTAGCTTCTGAGCCTCCTGGCCCCTGATTTGCTGTATAACAGCCCAAATGATTATTTTTGTGATTGTTGCTACTTTTATTGATAATAAAGCAAGACACTTTGAGCAGAAGGCTTTCAGGGAAAAAAGAGAGACCATGCATGTTAGGAGACTGCCTAGAAGCATGAGGTTAAAGGTTGATGGGAAGAGTACACTTAGGGCAATTAGCAGCTGCCCCATTAGATCAGTCTTGTGCTTGGCATGGTAAAAGAGACAGCAGCATCTAGAAAGGGCTGAAACAATAACTCACACAACATTAATCATACAAGGGGCTCATCGCCCGAAGGCTGCTATAGGAAGAATAGCCTTTCCTGGTCAAGGAGGAAGAAAATTAATAGATGTTTTCAGAGCGTACAATAAACAGATTATAAATGTACACAGATAATTCTGGAACAAAAAGATGTTATTCCACAAAAAAAAAGTATAACAGCAGTGGAGTGGTGAAGTGGGTAGAACAGGTCCTGGAATCAGGAAGACCAGAGTTCAAATCTGACCCCAGACACTTACTAGCCATTTGACCCTGAGCTAGTCACTTAGCCTTAGTTCCCTCATCTATAAAATGGGGATAATAATAACACTTAATCTCCCAGAGTTGTGAGGATCAAATGACATGATAGTTGTAAAGCTCTTAACACAGTGC